CATATCCATGGGACTTTTTGATCTTTTTTCATCATGCTACAAGAGTAACTAATTTAAAGTCATTCCTTTAAAAATAAGCGAGCTTATTTTTAAAATTTTGATCAAATGACTAATATTTCAATTTGTTTCTGATGAGAAATGAGAAAAATCGATGCGATAGACTAAACAACAAAAAAATAATCCTTTTTTCTTTGAATGTTTCATAGGAAATTTTCTGATAATGAATGTCATTAGCCTCTCTATTTTTTCTATTTCAATAGCCACTAGAACCTACCGTTTAGATGCTCATAAGTCAAAGAAAACGTAAAATCGTAAACAATTGAATTGTTTTGAATTGTAATTGTAATTGGTTCGAATTGTAAACATTGATTCATTGTATCTATGAAAATCAGAACCAAGTCCAAATCGATCCCATTCGACACACGATAATTGCAAGTCCTATTTCGAGTTTCCTCTTCAACGCGACGATGGGCCTCTCGGTGGTCATCATCATCCTTTGCCTGGCTTCTCCTCTTCTCATCACTGGCCTCTATTTCTTAGATCTACAATCAAATATCGCAGAATTTCATCTAGTTTCTAAAAACCAAAACCGCTAGCAAAAAATGTTAAAGCTGAAAGAGTTATTCCCCCAAGATTGTGAAATGAGAGGTAAATTTAGCGAATTTCGTCAGATCTAGCAGATTGTGGAACTGAGCCCAGGCCTGATCCTGGTATTGAAAGAATTCACTCTGAAAAAGCTGATTGTTCACCAGTAAAAGCAAGGCCTAACCTTGACTCAAAAAGATTGACTCTAGAAGCGACTAAGAAAGTTTGCAAAAAAAACAAAAGGTTCGGCGGCACGCGGATTCGTATCAGGGTCCAAGGAGTCCGGCGCACTATCCACTACACCCTTCGCACGAAGGCACACAATCACTTTCTCAAAGTGTTTTGTTTGTTTTTGAAAAAAAATGTTCAACACCTCGAAACTATAAGAAAAATCAGAGCACAAACGAATTTTTGGGGGTTCTCGAAGTTGAGGCAAAGATTTATGGTGTGAACTCTGTTCTGAAAACAAAATGTGACTTGTTGCTGTGTTGCATATTTATCGCTTTCCTTTATGGTTTGAAGCTCAAAAGCACTTGTCCAGTCTGATAGATGTAATGAGCAAACGCGAGCTCTTTTTCTTCATCGCCACCAATTTCACAGGAACATTCCTTTCGACCGCCAAACATGCTGAAATTGACGAGAATTTGGATCTCAATGATCTTCAATGTGGATTATATGGTATATGGTCCATACAAAAGTTTTGTCCATACAAAATGTGATCAGTAAGTCTGATCCAGTTTCAAAGTTCATCTGGAGTAGTTCTTTTGTTGAACCTTGATACAGATCAGACTCACCTACAGTGGCCCGCAGAAGTACTGTCCTCTGCCCCTACAAAAAACATTCGTGAAAAATTCGTTCATAGAAACAATAATTCGATAAAAATTCTTGACATTATGACATTACGTTGTTAAGCCTCCCCTTGCTTTCACCACTTCTTGAACTCTCATCGGCATCACATTCACGACATTCTCCAAAAGATTTTTCGGAATCATCGACAAGAGACTTCGAATGTGAATCCAAAGGGCCGCTTTTAAGTCGAACTTCTTTCTCGTAGGCTGAGACTTCACAAAAGACCACAAATGCTCGATCGGGTTTAAATCCGGCAAATAGGGAGGTGGATTGATCAATTTGACTCGATTGGCCGCAAACCATCCGGGTAAACGAGCCCGTTCCGTAGATTCAGCACCGTACTCATCATGAGCCTCCTTTTGTGTTTCTGGTCATTGTCTTGGTGAAGCATCCATGGGGCTGACATCCTTTGTGCGGCAAAAGGAAGCATATGACTCTCCATCGTTTCGTCTATGCGGATGAACGGACCTACCGCATTTCGGGACATTGCATCTAGAAAAGAAATTCGAAACAGGTCCCTACCCCAACACATAATGGTTCCTCCATTAAATTTCACTGTCGGGCGAATGTACTTAAGTGAATATCGCTTTTCAATCGGGTGCCGGGTAAGGTGGTTGCCGTCTGCGTGAAATAAATGAATCCTTATCTTATCAGTGAAAAGAACTTTCGCCCAATCATCCCTGATCCGACTTGCCTTGTAGACTTGTAGGTCCTTGAAAACTGGAGGCGCTGTTTTTGATGCTCAATTTTTTTTCAGAGGTTTATCCGCAGCCCTCCTTGTGTACATATCCAGCACGATTCAAGCGTCTTCCGATTGTATCCCGTCAAACAATGTTGCCGAAACGATCGTCAAGTACTTCTTGCCATCAGTAGCATTCCGATTTGGGTCCTCCTTCACAAAATTCATCACCGCCCGATCTTCCCTCACTGTTGCAATTTTAAGACGGCCGCTTTTCGAGCCTCTATGAAGATTTCCACCGGTTTTTCCTTGTGCAAAGGTTCGCCGAACGGTCTGGGTTGAGCACTTAAAGAGTTCGCCCGCCTTCTTCTAGGACAATCCATTCTTTCACATCTCAACAAGCTTCTCTTTATCGGGAGTAGGGAGATTTGACTTCCCAGGCGTCTAAAAAATAAGTTATAACTCACACAAAGCACAAAAACAAAAAAATAACCAAAAAATGTGCATAGGACAATACTTTTGCGGAGCCGATTCTCGACCTGCTGTCGATCTTTTGAGCACAAGTTTGTTTAGGATAAAGATGGCTTTGTGAAACTTTGGCACAAGAAACTAGAAGCATTTTGGGTTTTTGCTAACATATTGCTCTTGAATTTATGGCAAAATTCTTTGGAGAAAACTTTTCTGAGGTCATAGAACAATATTTGTTCTAAACGGTAACGTAACGAAAACATTTGTTGGTCCTTTTTTGTACATGGCAATTTGAAGTTTTGTGTTTTTTCCTCAGGACCAACCCTTCGATTATGACTATTTTAACGATGATTCGAGGCAGGCAAAAATGGCGCTTCAAATCATACCAAAATTCGCTCAAAATCCAATATCCATGGAAAGTTATGAGACGAAAGATTAAGTCCCGTCCATAATTGGCGGCATTTAGACTTTTAGCCAACGATTTTGCGTGGACGTTGCATTTTGAGTGAATTTTGGTCTGATTCGACGTGCAATTTCATCCTCAACCGAATGATAGTCGAAATGGAAGGGCTGGTGCTGAGAAAGGGATGAACAATCTAAAATTGCCAACGGCAAAAAGGATAAGCAGATGTTTCCGTTATAAGTCCAGTGTGTTCATTTAATGTGTTCATGTTCAATTAATGAACAAGTGGGTAATTATGTCTCCTGATTTTCATCTAAATCTATTATCTCATTCGCCGAGAAATTAAACTGTGTGAATATGGTAATTTGAAAACATCAAGAAAACAAACAAGTTCAAATACACATATTGACATTCCGTGCGCGTACACCTGCCAATTTGCCAACCGAACCAAATAATCTCCCCAGCTATGGTTCCGTTCTTTTAAACGTTCAGCCTAAAGTAAAGTGTCTTTTTTCGATAGAATGAAGAATTACGCATTCCGGAATCACATCACTATCGTTTGATGTCTTGTTGTAGAAAGTAAAGATTTTTTGGGCGAAGTCGACAAAAAGATGGCCAGTTCGTGTTTCGAGGGTTGAGCCGTTCAGTTTGCACTCACAAGGGTCTTTCTCCAATGATTCTCTAAATGAATCTCAAATCTCTAAGTGAAGACAAATTTTATAAAAACCTGTTTCGCTGATCAGAAAACAGTTTTATGTAGTGATTTCACTTGTTTCAAACATACTCTAAGTGGCATAATCTACACCGACAGATTCCTTCACATAAATCGCTTTCAAGAATCTCCCAAGTGCTGTCAAGGAGTTCGACAAGTGAAACATTCATGCAGTGACCCTTTGGGCAGTTGTCTGCCTGAACGCGGCTTTTGACAGTGCACAATTTACAGGTGCAATTTCTTTTTTCATTTGCATTTCAAAACTGAGGCATACTTGCTCGTCAAAATCTTCATCTGATGTTATCACAACATTTCGTTCGAGAAGAACAACTGTCAAGATGAGCACACATCTCAACGGAAGCATCCCTTAATTTCATATTTCCATGAACAAACGGGAAATAAAAAAAAGCGATATGATTATTTTTGGTCACATTATATGAAAAGAAATGCTAGAGCGGCTAACAAATGGCATTCATTATCAGAAAATTTCCTATGAAACATTCAAAAAAAAAGGATTATTTTTTTTGTTGTTTAGTCTATCGCATCGGTTTCTCTCATTTCTCATCAGAAACAAATTGAAATATTAGTCATTTGATCAAAATTTTAAAAATAAGCTCGCTTATTTTTAAATGAATGAAATTAAATTAGTTACTCTTGTAGCATGATGCTAGAGAAAGAAATGCTAGAGCGGCCAACCAAAGACATTCATTAGTCAAGTTTTAGGTTTTTTGACATATGAGCATCTAAACGATAGGTTCAGTTTATAAAGGGGATCGAAAATTAAAATTAAGCCCATGATCAGAAAATTTCCTATGAAACATCCAATGAAAAAAGGATGATTTTTTTTTGTTGTTGAGTCTATCGCATCGGTTTCTCTCATTTCTCATCAGAAACAAATTGAAATATTAGTCATTTGATCAAAATTTTAAAAATAAGTTCGCTTATTTTTAAAGGAATGAATTTAAATTAGTTACTCTTGTAGGATGATGAAAAGGATCAAAAAGTCCCATGGATATGCCATTGAAAAGATACAGCAAATTTATTTATTCTCAAATCGATCAATCCATCAATCGGCCCAGAGTTCAATAAGCTTTCCAACAAGCTTGGTAACAGCATCTCCCTGTGGCCCTTTCTCGACACAAACTTTGCACAAGGCACTTTCTGGGGGTCCTGCTTTGCACGTGCAGTTGTTCTGTTGAATGAGCGTGTTTTGCACTTCGAGAATGGTGGTTGCTATTTTTGTAGCAATTTTACAGAAGTGGATCCGTTGATAAACTTGGGTAGTCTCTTTTCCATTGAGTTCAAAAGTGTCGGTGCAGTTGGGGGGCTCTGAATCCCATGTGCTCGTCTGAAATTGCTAGTTAATGCTTTTTTGGCCAACTAGCTTACCTGAATTCCCGAAGCATAAGATCCTTTGGTGTGAATCTCCTGGTTTGAGAATGCCCTAAATAGAATTGTAGTGTAAGTATGTAATTGTTGGGCAACCTTTTTCCCACCCCCATTTTTCTCTGAGAATGGGTATGGTCTTTCAACGCACTAATAATGACTAATAATGACGCAATGACTTTTTACTTTCTAAGAGTGTCATCCGAAGCGGTTTTCCACGTAGAGATCATTGTTAGAACGAATTGCAGAATGTCCCAAGGTTGGATCGGTGTGAAGCTGAGGCAACAAGTACAGAAACCTCCTTGACAAATACAGTTCCCGTCATGGTTCACCAGTTTATTGACTACACTACACACCAACTAACAAAAATCTAAGCCCAATAGGTAGTTTAAAATTGCACTAAAGGATTCTGTTCACTCTTTCCTTACATGAGTTCGTTTGCAGCCCCTTCGAAGACGCTTCTATGAACGATTTTCAATCAAAATAAGTTAGAAAAATTTGCGTTAAAAATTACCGTAAGACTCCTTGCAACAATGGCATGAGCTGTTGGTAGTCGCTCAGAAATCGCGTCCGCCTGTGCACTGCTACACAACTCTTGGACAAGACTCAAGATTTGGCGTCTCAAATACCGGATGATCGTCTCGAGCTTTGGTGGTAGAAGCTGAAAGAGTTTATCATTGCGTAGTTTCCTGTGGCGAGATGGCCGAGCGGTCTAAGGCGCCAGTTTAAGGCACTGATCTTTTCGGAGGCGTGGGTTCGAGCCCCACTCTCGTCAGAAACTTTTTACTTTTCCTAGAAATTCTTAAAACAAGAAACAAATGTGATCAAAAACCTACTTTTTCCTTTCCACAGCATGTCTCCATCGATGTGCTCATCGAAAGAATCGAAAAGGCGGACTTCATCGATAAAAGACTTAAACTTCTTGATCTCGATCCACTGGTGGCTGTGTTTTGATTTGTTTCATTCGATAAATTTCTGATCTCATTCAGAATCCGTTCCCAAACAACCTGAATTGGATTTTCTTAGCTTTTTGAAAAGAAATCTACTTCAATGAAATCAGCAGTTTTCGGAGGATTTCTCAGGAATGCAGTCGGCGTTCGACAATGAGATCTCGCCGTTGTACTTCTCAGCACCGTGCACAACTTCTTCAGCATAATACAAGTCTACAAATTTCTTTGTTTTTTATCTTTAAAAGCTTATTTACTTTCAAAGTATCCGAATTCTCATAGATCAAATTGTCGAGCTGATCAAGCACTTCGGCACCCATTCTGATCAAAGCACAACCGGAGACTAAATTTTTAAATAGAATAAAGAACTTTTAAAACTTTATTTCAAAATTGCTAACTTACCCGCACAAACGAAAACGATTTCGAGCTCATCCATGAGTTTATATCTCATCACATCTGCATAAAATGGCGTCTCGGAGTTCTTCGAGCGAAGCCATAGCTGAATTGATCATGAAAATTTCTTTTTTCCGTTATTTACCTGGTTCACTTGAGTATTCGCAGTGATTGGATGTAGTTTCAAAAACCTCTTCAACGAATTGATATCAGTTGTATCGAAATGTTTCCAAATTTTCTTCTCATCAGACGTCGAGTTCACCGAGCAGAGAAGCTCTCCATGGGAAACGAGAAGGCAGCTGAATCGGGAATTCCCATCACTGAAATTTTGGTACTTTGGCCAGGGTAAGCAGAAGCAAAAGAAAAAGCTATGTCAGAAGCAAAAGAAGAAGCTGAATTAAATTGCAAGCAAAGCGAGACTAGCTAGAAGCACAAAAGGTTGTTAAAATTACCGATTGGCGCCTAGAGTCTCCGAGATTCGTTCACTCAACGTTTTCAGCATTGGGATCATCTTTTGAGTGTCTTTTGAGTAGTAAGCGGCTGCTCGATAGCCATTTGTATCTGAAAGAATTTAGAGTTTAACAGATTAAGCTCAAATTGATCAACTTAGAGGGCAAATCGGTAATTGAATAAGTTAATTGCAAGATTGGTAACGGAAGCTGTTCGCTTTTTCAGATATTTAGCAAGTTTAGAGTTAAACAAATCGATAAATTGAATAAGTTAGGATTGGTAATAAAGATTTGCTGTTTTCATGATCAATCAACCTAGTTATGAGTTTGTTTTATCTATTTGTTCCACTCTAAACAAGTTATCATTTCTGAAACTCAAAAAAATTAACTACAACAAATTCAGCACAACTTCGTCGTTATTATTACTATTGGGTTGTCCAGTTATGAATGCGCGCTTTTACTATTTTGTAAATTTCTCAAGATTTCGAACAGATTTATATGAGTGTTATACATCATTCGTAAGCTGAAGATCTCCTCTACATTTTAGAATAAAAAAGTTTTTGAATTCATTCAACTTTTTGGGAAATCGACTGCACAAAGGGAGAGGTCGTTTTCGAAAAAAATCCATTTCAGCTTAGCTATTCCTCAAGTTTTATGGTGTAAAATAACCGCCCAGAAAAGAACAGAAAAGTAAAGATGCTCTGAAATTGTTATATTTAAAAAAAAGTTGTGTTGATATATCTATTGATCAGGATCAATAGATCAATTAACTCAATTTGAGCGGAGCCAAAACTTGATTCATTTTTTGGCCACCTCTTCTTCTGTCCAGTCAATTTGCCCAAAAACTGAACAAATTCAAAAACTTTTTATATGAAAATGTAGAGGAGATCTTCAGCTTTCGAATAATACTCATATATATCTTTTTCTTGATTTCGGTATCTTGAGGAATTAACAAAATAGTAAAAAACGCGCATTCATAACTGGACAACCCAATATTTACTATGAACTTTTGTAAATTGAGCTCTTGAATCTGGTTTCAAAGTTTAAAACTTAACTATAAACTTTTATTGATTCAATCAACTATGGACTTTGTGCTCTTATCATTTCTCATCACTTTTGACTAGATTTTATTCTCCATAACTATAGCTGGATTCATATTTTGAAACCCTTTACTTTACTCCAATCTTATCCCAACTCCGCAATCATTACCTCTTTTAATCGGCATGTCTGGTCACATGATCGAGTGTAATCCCCAATTGAGTGATGGCCGTATCATAGACAGATAAGTCGGCATCGAGTGATTCCAAAAGGGGTCCAAAGTGTAGTTTGAGAGCTTCAGAGGAGACTCGCAACCAATCACGAGCCACCGTTTCATCACTAAACGTTTTGAGTTGTGATTTAAGCTGTGGCTTATTTTCGAGTTGATCTTTGATGACAACTATTTGCTTTCAAAGCTATCGAGATATTTCAGATTTAGGAAAAACTTGTAAAATGTAACTTAATTCATGCACGAGACTCTGCAAATCCCTCTAAAATCTTGTTCATCTTATCACTCTTTCAAATCCTTTTGCAAAACTTGTTTTGCTATATTCAAAGCGCTCAAAAACAAACCCTTCCGTGATCACAATCAGCAGAAAATCACAGCTGAGACTCTCAAAAAGAATGGTTGATCCATCAGAATTTAAAGATTTATATGAGTCCTTTAATGATTCAGCTGTTCGAAATATTGAAATAATCGGCAAGAAGTGATAGGTGATCTCGCTGAAAAGGATGATAATTTGAATTTGAAGCGTTTCGATAGAATTTTGAAATTCAGCCGAAAAAGTTGTAGATCAAGTTGGTATTTGTGATTCTCATCATCGAAATACCAACTTTTCATTAGATTTAGAAGTATTCAAACCTCAAAACGGTGATGCTTTGACAAAATTTCCTCGAACAATGAAGAGATTTTGAAGCTGGTGAGCTAGGATTTGAGGTTGATGGTTTATCTTCAGTGAAAATTCCTGACGATGAGTCGGAAAAGACTCCAGAAGAAGTGGAAGCGGTGTCACTATGTGAACAAAGCTCCTAAAACTTTTTTTTTGATTCAACAATTTTCGTTTAAATCGTCTCTTTATATTAAAACCTAATAGCTAAGTGTAATTTTAAAATTTTTAGATTTATAATTGAATTTGTAATTTCAATTCACAGTTTCCTTTTAAGTAGCCTTTTTTTTCTTGTCTTCTTCAGATGAAGCTGCAAATTTCCAGACAAAAATGTCATTCTTATGTGAATCAAATTCTTTCTTTGCTAACATTTTCTTGATAATTGTAGTTCTTGTCATCTTGATAGTAGTTCTCATAACTCACCCGTTTCAATAATCCCTTCAAATGACTTCTAAATCGATTGTCCCCTCCACCAAAATCACTTGATTTTTGTTGTTGACGAGTAAAAGGCCACGCATTTTAGTGAATTATTTCGATAAAATCTATCAAAATATTAATTTGATTTCATAAAACATCAGTAAAGAGAATAAAGAAGAAATTAAAAAGAAAAACTGAGATTTATCGTTCAGAGAAAGTATTTTTGCGGCTGAAATAAAGCTGGCGAATGCAAAATAAAGGTTTAAGTAAGGCCTAAGAACTGTAAAAGCAGAATAGAGTCAAAAAAAAAAAATAAACTCCAACTACCAATTGCTTTGAACCAATTGAAAAGCAGGATTTAGCAAAACTTTCATCTTATAACCTATAAGTTATTGAATCCAGTATAAATCATAAACCCAGAAGCCAGATTGAAGTTATTGAATCCAGTTATTGAAAAGCCAGTTATTGAATTCAGTATAAATCACACCCAGAAGCAATTGAAAGGTAGCGGATAAAGAAACCGGTTTATCACGAGAGAAATCAGAAGAGGAAGTAAATTAAGTAAAAAATGTTGAGGAGACCGTCAAAGGAAGCTGCCAAGGGGGCAAGGGGAAAGGACGAAAGCACAAGGCACAAATTGATAAGAAATCGAATAATCGAGATAGGAGAGAAATGAAAAGAAGAGAGGGACACCGAGACTCCCCACGTCTATCAATCCAGTAGACTCACAACAATATAAACTTTTCTATGCTCTCGGATTCGAATTTCAATAGAATCAGTGTACTTCTGGTTATGACCACTGAAATCAAGAGTTTGAAACATTTGACAAGAAGTGTTTTTGATCTGTTTGTTCTTAAGTCTTTGATTCGAATCCCAGCAGAATCATTGCACTTTTGAACCATTGAAATCAAGAATTTGAAACATTTCAAAAAGTTTTGATTAACTTGAGCTTTAGCTTGACCTTTTTTTTGGCTCAAATAATTATCCTACTGATCTCTTATCTCTGATGTCATCAAAATATGAGTCTGAAATATTGCATTTGACCGCCGGAAGTGATTCTGATAAAGGCTAATATCAAATTTAGATTCGAAACTAAAAATAAACCACAAAGTGAACAAAGAAAGTTTTTGAGAACGGGAATTGGGAAGACAAAAGACAATTTACGACTTTCATTATGCAAAAAAGACTGGTAAAACAAAAAACTTCTTTATTTTGCTAGAATTTTACTATTTTACTATAATTACACAATTTTTGTCCAAATCTACAGCTGAATATCTTCTTTTTGTGACATTTACAAAGCAACAGAAAAATCCCTATGTAAATGATTGGCAAAGTGTCCTTTGTGGGACCGCATCATCCTGGCAAACAAGTTTGGTATAAAGTGGCTCCCTTTTGGAATCCGCAAAGGGAAAGGAGCGGTGAGCGACTGAGCTTTCCTGCTTTTTAGGCTTCACAATGCCCAAATTCTTGGGGTCAATTTTTGCCCCAATTTTTGCTTTAAATTTTACATCCCGTTAAGCCAAAACGCAAGACGCTCAAGATCAGAATCGATTCCAGTGTGACTTGGATTCCTTCCGTAAATTTACCGACAATATGCCCCAATTCCCCACACATCGCCGTCAAAGCCAGCTCGCTGTTGCCCTTCGCGCGCACGATGGCCAGCTCACTGAAGAGGAAATTTTTTATGATTTGACTCAATGATAAATTCTTTTCACTACTGTTTACACAATCTCTGTGCAAAAAGTAGCTCTTTTGAAGGCTTAGCTTTTAGAAAACATTAGGTTGTCCAGTTATGAATGCGCGCCTGCTCTTGAACAGCGTACCTTAGGGCTATACAATTTTATCAAACCCTATTCTCTATATGCTGTTCAAGTTTTCTTATTTATTACAACTTTTCGTGTTTTTGCTACAAAAAGGCCTTGATCCTCCAAACATAAAGTTCATTCAAGATAACGCCCGTCCACACGTTGCAAAGATTGTTCAGGAAAAACTCGAAGAGTTAGGCTGGGAAACTCTCCCGCATCCGCCATATTCTCCGGATATTTCTCCTTCGGATTACCATTTATTTCGCTCAATGCGAAACCATTTGGCCGGAAACAAGTTCAAAGAAGTTCAAGAGGTCGAAAAATGGACAGCCGACTTCTTTGCCTCAAAACAAGCCAATTTTTACGCGGAGGGAATTCATTCTTTGCATGGAAGATGGAAACAAATATTGTTAACAAATGGTGAATATATTGTTGATTGAGCTGTTAAACTGTTGGTTTTAAAATAAAGAGTTGTTATCTTAAAAACGCGCATTTATAACTGGACAACCTAATAGAATAAAAACTGACAATAGGACAGCTTTTTGGAGATAGAAAATATAAATGGATTGTGCAGAAAGCTCTTTTTTGTAAAATCTTATTTGATGCTTTGATTTTGAATATCTCTGATTTTCTTGTCCTTCCTCTAAAGATCCTTTATGTGATGAAAGGGGGACGGCGCCCACTTTGTATTCTTTCTCGTTTGACACACTGAACCAAAGATTGATCCTGTTTATTGTATTTTCTCGCTAGATTAGTGATTGTGCTATATTCGGAATAAATATCTAAATAATCATTGCCCCATCGGATCGGTACCCTCTCACGCACTGCACAATCTCTTATAGCAATTTTATGCTGTTATTTGTTGCTCCGGGCGTGGCTCGGCGCGTCCGCCCTGCTCCTCTCCGGTGCTCAGTCTTATGGATCCCTCCCTGGCCTCTTCATCCGGCCAAAGTCCAGGTATTTGGCTCAAAAGAGTTAAATCGAAAAAGTTGCCCGAGAAAATCAAATGAAGACAAACGTGGTTGGGTTGAATCGCGTTTACTTAACTCTGCTTTGATTCTCACGGAACTGATCTCGTTATTGAACTTACCTCTCCCCCATGACAAACCCCGCGATGACAAACACATGACAAACGACAAACGTCGAAAATGGAGGAGTTGAAGAGATTCGACTATGCGGGTAAAGGGATCGCCACTTTGCTTGCTGTTGCCCTTCGCGCGCACGATGGCCAGATCACTGAAGAGTAGAGTTTTTATGATTTGACTCAATGATAAATTCTTTGCATTACTGTTTACACAATGTCTTAAAATATCCAAGCTTTCAATGTTCTATAGTCCACAACGATCATCTAATGCTGATTAAGATTATGGGTAGAATTATTCCAAGAGATCTTGCTTTCAGATTTTAACACAACCAAATCCTAACTTCATTTTATAATCATTACATATTTGCTTGGTCAATTGAATAACTTGATTCATTGAGAATAGACCTAGACCAGTCTAATCCACGCCGATTTGAATCCCAAATTTCTACTACGACCAATGATCTTTTATGTAACGTCGAAATGAATTCAAGCACAACATCATTTATTCGCCCGAAATACACACAAAAAGATGCTCAACTAAACGATTAGAATCAGAAAATCAGAAAAATTATTGTTGTCTTTTGATAGATCAATAGAAAAGATCAAAAATGAACGTAATTTTCATTGAAAAATTTTTGCTCGATGATTGTTGAATCTAACCGAAACGGATGAACTCGTTCTTGCGCTTCTCCACTGAAATTTTAAAGTTGAAGAGCAAAACAGATAACTTTTGAAAATTTGGCTTCATATAAACTATTCAAAGTCATTTAGGTTTGGTTTTAGCTTGTTGGCTGACGTTGAGCTGAAGTAGCGCAACATAAACGCAGACCATCTGACACGCTACTTTAGCAGCCAATCCTGCCAATTTTGCAGTAAAATACTATCGAAATCATAAAAGCTTTAAAAAGCTGGATTGAACTCTGGGCGGATTGATGGATTGATCGATTTGAGAACAAATAAATTTGCTGTATCTTTTCAATGGCATATCCATGGGACTTTTTGATCTTTTTTCATCATGCTACAAGAGTAACTAATTTAAATTCATTCATTTAAAAATAAGCGAGCTTATTTTTAACATTTTGATTAAATGACTAATATTTCAATTTGTTTCGATGCGATAGACTAAACAACAAAAAAGTCATCCTTTTTGCTTTGAATGTTTCATAGGAAATTTTCTGATCATGGGCTCAATTTTAATTTTCGATTCCTTTTATAAACCGAACTTATCGTTTAGATGCCCATATGTCAAAAAAAATATAAAACTTGACTAATGAATGTCATTTGTTAGCCGCTCTAGCATTTCTTTTCATATAATGTGACCAAAAATAATCGTATCGCTTTTTTTATTTCCCGTTTGTTCATGGAAATATGAAATTAAGGGATGCATCCGTTGAGATGTGTGCTCATCTTGACAGTTGTTCTTCTCGAACGAAATGTTGTGATAACATCAGATGAAGATTCTGACGAGCAAGTATGCCTCAGTTTTGAAATGCAAATGAAAAAAGAAATTGCACCTGTAAATTGTGCACTGTCAAAAGCCGCGTTCAGGTAGACAACTGCCCAAAGGGTCACTGCATGCATGTTTCACTTGTCGAACTCCTTGAAAGCACTTGGGAGATTCTTAAAAGCGATTTATGTGAAGGAATCTGTCTGTGTGAAGTATGCCACTCAGAGTATGTTTGAAACAAGTGAAATCACTACATAAAACTGTTTTCTGGTCAGTGAAACAAGTGTCGGGCAGGGCTTTTTATAAAATTTGTCTTCATTTAGAGATTCATTGGAGAAAGACCCTTGTGAGTGCAAACTGAACGGCTCAGCTCTCGAAACACGAACTGGCCATCTTTTTGTCGACTTCGCCCAAAAAATCTTTACTTTCTACAACAAGACATCAAGCGATAGTGATGTGATTCCAGAATGCGTAATTCTTCATTCTATCGAAAAAAGACACTTTTCTTTAGGCCGAAAGTTTCAAGAAGGGAACCATAATGGGGAAGATTATTTGGTTCGGTTGGCAAATTGGCAGGTGTACGCGCACGGGATGTCAATATATGTATTGGAGGCTGTTTGTTTTCTTGATGTTTTCAAAATTACCATATCCACACAGTTTAATTTCTCCGCGAATGAGATAATAGATTTAGATGAAAATCAGAAGACATAATTACCCACTTGTTCATTAATTGCAATGAACACACTGGACTTATAACGGAAACATCTGCTTATCCTTTTTGCCGTTGGCAATTTTAGATTGTTCGTCTCTTTCTGAGCACCAGCCCTTCCATTTCGACTATCATTCGGTTGAGGATGAAATTGCACGTCGAATCAGACCAAAATTAACTCAAAATGCAACGTCCACGCAAAATCGTTGGCTAAAAGTCTAAATGCCGCCAATTATGGACGGGACTTAATCTTTCGCCTCATAACTTTCCATGGATATTGGATTTTGAGTGAATTTTGGTATCATTTGAAGCGTCATTTTTGCCTGCATCGAATCATCATTAAAATAATCATAATCGAAGGGTTGTTCCTGAGGAAAAGACAAAAAACTTTAAATAGCCAAGTACAAAAAAGGACGAACAGATGTTTTCGTTACGTTACCGTCTAGAACAGATATTGTTCTATGACCTCAGAAAAGTTTCCTCCAAAGAATTTTGGCATAAATTCAAGAGCAATATGTTTGGATTTCATATCTTCAAACCCCAAAATGCTTCTAGTTTCTTGTGCCAAAGTTTGACAAAGCCAACTTTATCCTAAACAAACCTGAGCTCAAAAGATCGACAGCAGGTCGAGAATCGGCTCCGCAAAAGTATTGTCCTATGCACATTTTTTGGTTATTTTTTTTGTTTTTGTGCTTTAAAGTTCACTTTTGGAGTTATAACTTATTTTTTAGATGCCTGGGAAGTCAAATCTCCCTACTCCGGATAAAGAGAAGCTTGTTGAGATGTGAAAAAATGAATTGTCCGAGAAGAAGGCGGGCGAACTCTTTAAGTGCTCAACCCGGAACTTTCGGCGAACCTTTGCACAAGGAAAAACCGGTGGAAATCTTCATAGAGGCTCGAAAAGCGGCCGTCTTAAAATTGCAACAGTGAGGGAAGATCGGGCGGTGATGAATTTTGTGAAGGAGGACCCAAATCGGAATGCTACTGATGGCAAGAAGTACTTGACGATCGTTTCGGCAACATTGTTTGACGGGATACAATCGGAAGACGCTTGAATCGTGCTGGATATGTACACAAGGAGGGCTGCGGATAAACCTCTGAAAAAAAATTGAGCATCAAAAACAGCGCCTCCAGTTTTCAAGGACCTACAAGTCTACAAGGCAAGTCGGATCAGGGATGATTGGGCGAAAGTTCTTTTCACTGATAAGACAAGGATTCATTTATTTCACGCAGACGGCAACCACCTTACCCGGCAACCGATTGAAAAGCGATATTCACTTAAGTACCTTCGCCCGACAGTGAAATTTAATGGAGGAACCATTATCTGTTGGGTTAGGGACTTGTTTCGAATTTCTTTTCTAGATGCGATGTCCCGAAATGCGGTAGGTCCGTTCATCCGCATAGAAGAAACGATGGAGACTCATATGCTTCCTTTTGCCGCACAAATGATGTCTCCCCCATGGATGCTTCACCAAGACAATGACCAGAAATACAAAAGGAGGCTCATGATGAGTACGGTGGTCAATCTACGGAACGGGCTCGTTTACCCGGATGGTTTGAGGCCAATCGAGTCGAATTGATCAATCCACCTCCCTATTTGCCGGATTTAAACCCGATCGAGCATTTGTGATCTTTTGTGAAGTCTCAGCCTAAGAGAAAGAAGTTCGACTTAAAAGTGGCCCTTTGGATTCACATTCAGAGTCTCTTGTCGATCATTCCGAAAAATCTTTTGGAGAATGTCGTGAATTTGATGCCGATGAGAATTCAAGAAGTGGTGAAAGGAAGGGGAGGCTTAACAACGCTCTGATTTACTTTTTATGTTGTTTTTTGTTGATAAGACATGACTTTTGCGGAGGCTATTTTCAGATTTTTGTTCAACTTTTGGTTCTAGTTTTTTCAATTGTTACCTGTACATAAAGAAACTGTTTTTGTTTATAAACTAGATACTCATAGATCTTCAAAATGTCAAGAATTTTTATCGAATTATTGTTTCTATGAAAGGATGTTTCACGAATATTTTTTGTAGGAGCAGAGGACAGTACTTCTGCGGGCCACTGTATGTGAGTCTGATCTGATCAAGGTTCAACAAAAAAACTACTCCAAATGAACTTTGAAACAGGATCAGACTTACTGATCACACTTTGTATGGACAAAACTTAAGCAAATCTTTCTAATTCAACTGAAACGGAAACCATATAATCCACCTCATTGAGGTCCAAATTCTCGTCAATTTCAGCATGTTTGGCGGTCCAAAGGAATGTTCCTGTGAAATTGGTGGCGATGAAGAAAAAGAGCTCGCGTTTGCTCATTACATCTATCAGACTGGACAAGTGCTTTTGAGCTTCAAACCATAAAGGAAAGCGATAAATATGCAACACGGCAACAAGTCACATTTTGTTTCCAGAACAGAGTTCACACCATAAATCTTTGCCTCAACTTCGAGAACCCCAAAAATTTGTTTGTGCTCTGATTTTTATTAAATTGTTTCGAGGTGTTGAACATTTTTTTTTGAAAAACAAACAAAACACTTTGAGAAAGTGATTGTGTGCCTTCGTGCGAAGGGTGTAGTGGATAGTGCGCCGGCAGTTGGCTCTCCTTGGACCCTGATACGAATCCGCGTGCCGCCGAACCTTTTGTTTTCTTTTTCTAACTTTCTTGGTCGCTTCTAGAGTCAATCTTTTTGAGTCAAGGTTAGGCCTTGCTTTTACTGGTGAACAATAAGCTTTTTCAGAGTGAATTCTTTCAATGCCAGGATCAGGCCTGGGCTCAGGTCCACAATCTGCTAGATCTGGCGAAATTCGCTAAATTTACCTCTCATTTTACAATCTTGGGGCAATAACTCTTTCAGCTTTAACACTTTTTGCTAGCGGTTTTGGTTTTTAGAAACTAGATGAAATTCTGCGATATTTGATTGTAGATCTAAGAAATAGAGGCCAGTGATGAGAAGAAGAGAAGCCATGCAAAAGCAACAAGTACAGAAATCAGGACGATCTCTTTGACAAATACAGTTAGCGTCATGGTCAACCATTTTAGTGAACCCTTGAACAGTCGTAATAATCTTGGTCATAATTTTCTCAAAATTGACGCGTTTTGTTGGTTCGCAAGACAGAGACTAAAAATTGATATATTCGTTTGATCTTTTTAGATTATTTGGCTCAAAAGAGCTAGTTTGAAAAAGTTGCCCGAGAAAATCAAATGAAGACAAACGTTGTTGGGTTGAATCGCGTTTACTTAACTCCGCTTTGATTCTCACCGAGCTGATTTCTCTTTGTGAAGCTATTTTCGTCAAACTATTTAATTCCACATTCAAAAAAGTTGATTTAGAAACAAAAAATATACATGGTCTCTATTACATCTTTCACGTTTTTGTTTCCAAAATAACTTTTTTGAATGTGGAATTAAATAGTTTGACAAAAATAGTTTGACAAAGTGAATGTGAAGAAAAAATGAAATAAATTGAAGAGAAAAGAACAAAAACATTTAGAAATTTGACTTGAAAAGTTTCCGAAGCCCTTTCAGCGACACTCGTGGTGCAGTGGATAGTGTGATTGCATACCGAGGTTGCGAAGAATTTTTTCTAGGTATTTGATTGTAGATCTAAGAAATAGAGGCCAGTGATGAGAAGAAGAGAAGCCATGCAAAGGATGATGATGACCACCGAGAGGCCCACGTTCGCTTTAAAGAGGAAACTCGAAATAGGACTTGCAACTATCGTATATCGGATGGGATCGGTTTGGACTTGGTTCTGATTTTAATCAACTCATTTTTCTAATGAAGAGGACCATTCTACAGTGCGGTGCAAAACCATACGCCACCCCCTAAATTTCAATTTTCTGCGGCTTCCGTGTATATGGTACTTCAAATGCGCATGGTCGTCACAAGAAGCTCTCCAAACGGGCCGAACGCCATATCAGAAACAAAGTCTCAAACTCTACGGGGTCGACAAATGAAATCAAGCGTGATTTGCAACTTTCAGTGTCAAAGTGGACTGTTCTGAGAACCATCAACTTTTCTCCACATCTCACACCTCAGGTGATGAAGCCGGCACCTCGCTTAACTGCCATCCACAAACAGAACAGGTTGTTCTTTGCTCGCGCAAACATGGCAACTAACTGGAATCAGGTATTTAGACTTAGAAAACAAATTTTATTGATCATCTACACAGACGAGAAAAAGTTCAACCTGGATGGGCCTGATGGTGGACACTCTTATTGGCGTGACTTGCGCCAGGATCCATTACTGTTCTCAAGGCGAAACTTCGGCGGGGGTTCGGTGATGTGTTGGGGTGCCTTCTCATTTCATGGAAAACTGGAAATCGTCTTTGTCACCTGGTTTCAATTTTGGTCTTGCTTTAAATTTGAATCCTGATTTGCTTGATGTTTACTCTAGTGATTTGTAAGAGAATATTTGTACAGATTGTTTTTTATCATTTCCATTTCACTTATTCCATTAAATATTCATTTTTTAACTTAAACTGACCGGTAGAAACAAAACAATTGAAAAAATATTAAGATTTTGAGCGATTTGACTCGATTTGACTGATCGAAATTTGGACAAAAATTTCATTTTGCTCCAATTTGATCAGAAACGTAATCAGTAGGTTAGATTATGTCAGAAGAAGTGTTTTTGGCTTCAAAAAATGTTTTGAGAGATCATTTTTAGACCTCTTCCCTATGTGGATCCCTCTCATTGCACTCTAGAGGCTTGAAAACCTGAAACTCGGCTTGAAACGCATTCTTCCAAGCTCTCGTTGCGTTTTTCGGAATCTACGCATAAAAATACTCCAGAAAAAGTGCCCCCCCAACCCGCGTAGTACCAAAATATGGTCTCAAATGCTTTCCTCCACTCAGAGTCATCATGCTGATCGCGATTTGCAATGGATTCTTCATCATCTCAAGTCCACTATTTCAATACTACATCATGGTAATTGAAATCGAATTGTAAACATTGATACATTGGATACATTGATACATTGTATGTATGAAAATCAGAACCAAGTCCAAACCGATCCCATCCGACACACGATAATTGCAAGTCCTATTTCGAGTTTCCTCTTCAACGCGACCGTGGGCCTCTCGGTGGTCATCATCATCCTTTGCATGGCTTCTCTTCTTCTCATCACTGGCCTCTATTTCTTAGATCTACAATCAAATATCTAGAAAAAATTCTTCGCAAGCTCGGTATCCAATCACACTATCCACTGTACCACGAGTGTCGCTGAAAGGGTTTCGGAAACTTTTCAAGTCAAATTTCTAAATGTTTTTGTTCTTTTCTCTTCAATTTATTTCATTTTTCCTTCACATTCACTTTGTCAAACTATTTTCGTCAAACTATTTAATTCCACATTCAAAAAAGTTATTTTAGAATCAAAAACGTGAAAGATGTAATAGAAACCATGTATATTTTTTGTTTCTAAAATAACTTTTGTTTGTGTGTGGAATTAAATAGTTTGACGAAAATAGCTTCACAAAGTGAACATTTGGAATTCAATAGGAAGGATTTTGACATAAATAGTCACAAATATACATGAGAAAATATCCACTTTGGTAAAAAATGATTCTTCACAAATGGCTTTTGATTTCTATAAGCATTCTTTTCGGACAAAAGATCGGCGTGTCATCTTTTCACGAGCAGCTCTTCCAGTCAGAAAAATACAAGTTACCCGGCGGGACTTGTCTTGTGGGAGAGGTAAGTTCAATAACGAGATCAGTTCCGTGAGAATCAAAGCGGAGTTAAGTAAACGCGATTCAACCCAACAACGTTTGTCTTCATTTGATTTTCTCGGGCAACTTTTTCAAATTAGCTCTTTTGAGCCAAATAATCTAAAAAGATCAAACGAATATATCAATTTTTAGTCTCTGGATTGCGACGCAACAAAACTCGTCAATTTTGAGAAAATTATGGCCAAGATTATTACGACTGTTCAAGGCTTCAATAAACTGGTGAACCATGACGGGAACTGTATTTGTCAAAGAGATCCTCCTGGTTTATGTACTTGTTGCCTCAGCTTCACACCGATCCAACCTTGGGACATTCTGCAATTCGTTCTAACAATGATCTCTACGTGGAAAACCGCTTCGGATGACACTCTTAGAAAGTAAAAAGTCATTGCGTCATTATTAGTCATTATTAGTGCGTTGAAAGAAAGACTATACCCATTGTCAGAGAAAAATGGGGGTGGGAAAAAGGTTGCCCAAAATATTTCTTTTATGACTTTGAATTCTATTTAGGGCACTCTCACAGCAGGAGATTCACACCAAAGGATTTTATTCCGAGGGAATTCAGGTAAGCTAGTAAGCCAAAAAAGCATTAACTAGAATTTCAGATGTGCACATGGGATCGAGAGACCCCAAACTGCACTTTTGGAAATAGGATTACCAACGTTTATCAACGGATCGACTTCTGTAAAATTGCTGCAAAAATAGCAAACACCATTTTGGAAGTGCAAAAGACGCTCATTCAAGAGAACAACTGCACGTGCAAAGCAGGACCCGCAAAAAATGCCTTGTGCAAAGTTTGTGTCGAGAAAGGGCCACAGGGAAATGTTGTTACCAAGCTTGTTGGAAAGCTTATTGAACTCTGGGCGGATTGATGGATTGATAGATTTGAGAATAAATAAATTTGCTGTATGTTTTCAATGGCATATCCATGGGACTTTTTGATCTTTTTTCATCATTCTACAAGAGTAACTAATTTAAATTCATTCCTTTAAAAATAAGCGAGCTTATTTTTAAAATTTTGATTAAATGACTAATATTTCAATTTGTTTCTGAGGAGAAATGAGAAAAATCGATGCGATAGACTAAACAACAAAAAATCATCCTTTTTTCTTTGAATGTTTCATAGGAAATTTTCTGATCATGGGCTTAATTTTAATTTTCGATTACCTTTATAAACTGAACCTATCGTTTAGATGCTCATATGTCAAAGAAAACATAAAACTTGACTAATGAATGTCAGTTAGATTCAGGACCAAAAATAACCCTTAAACCCCAAAAATTATCGACATAGCATGAATAGGGAAAATGTAACAGCCAAAAAACGAAAATTCACCCGGTGCAAAACCATACGCCACCCCCAATACTACATCATGGTAATTGAAATCGAATTGTAAACATTGATACATTGGATACATTGATACATTGTATGTATGAAAATCAGAACCAAGTCCAAACCGATCCCATCCGACACACGATAATTGCAAGTCCTATTTCGAGTTTCCTCTTCAACGCGACCGTGGGCCTCTTGGTGGTCATCGTCATCCTTTGCATGGCTTCTTCTTCTTCTCATCACTTCTTCTCATCACTGGCCTCTATTTCTTAGATCTACAATCAAATATCGCAGAATTTCATCTAGTTTCTAAAAACCAAAACCGCTAGCAAAAAATATTAAAGCTGAAAGAGTTATTCCCCCAAGATTGTAAAATGAGAGGTAAATTTAGCGAATGTTCAACACCTCGAAACTATAAGAAAAATCGGAGCACAAACGAATTTTTTGGGGTTCTCGAAGTTGAGGCAAAGATTTATGGTGTGAACTCTGTTCTGAAAACAAAATGTGACTTGTTGCCGTGTTGCATATTTATCGCTTTCCTTTATGGTTTGAAGCTCAAAAGCACTTGTCCAGTCTGATAGATGTAATGAGCAAACGCGAGCTCTTTTTCTTCATCGCCACCAATTTCACAGGAACATTTCTTTGGACCGCCAAACATGCTGAAATTGACGAGAATTTGGACCTCAATGAGGTGGATTATATGGTTTCCGTTTCAGTTGAATTAGAAAGATTTGCTTAAGTTTTGTCCATACAAAGTGTGATCATTAAGTCTGATCCAGTTTCAAAGTTCATTTGAAGTAGTTTTTTTGTTGAACCTTGATACAGATCAGACTCACATACAGTGGCCCGCAGAAGTACGCAGAAGTACAGTTTTTTAAGTACAGGCAACAATTGAAAAAACCAGAACAAAAAGTTGAACAAAAATTTGAAAATAGCCTCCGCAAAAGTCATGTCTTATCAACAAAAAACAACAATAAAAAGTAAATCAGAGCGTTGTTAAGCCTCCCCTTGCTTTCACCACTTTCACCACCAAAGGGCCGCTTTTCAGTCGAACCTCTTTCTCGTAGGCTCTGACTTCACAAAAGACCACAAATGCTCGATCGGGTTTAAATCCGGCAAATAGGGAGGTGGATTGATCAATTTGACTCGATTGACCGCAAACCATCCGGGTAAACGAGCCCGTTCCGTAGATTCAGCACCGTACTCATCATGAGCCTCCTTTTGTGTTTCTGGTCATTGTCTTGGTAAAGCATCCATGGGGGAGACATCATTTGTGTGGCAAAAGGAAGCATATGAGTCTGCATCGTTGCGTCTTGGCTTTGTCAAACTTTGGCACAAGAAACTAGAAGCATTTTGGGGTTTGAAGATATAAAATCCAAACATATTGCTCTTGAATTTATGCCAAAATTCTTTAGAGGGAACATTTCTGAGGCCATAGAACAATATTTATGATAAATATCTGTTCTAGACGCTAACGTAACGAAAACATCTGTTCGTCGTTTTTTGTATTAGGTACGGAAAAAATTAATGTCGTATTTGTGGGCCTCACTTTCCGGCGTTGCCTACGCGGCTGCAAATGCTCATTGACCTTATGTATTTGAGTATTTTTTCTCAATTTTCTTTTCTGTTTAACACTTTTGCTTCGACCTTCCTTAATGGTTTTTTTAGGTTGTTTTACATCGATGGAAAATCGAGACTTTTGCCTTCTCTTTTTTTATGAGTTCAAGCTTGGCCACAATGCGTCAGAAGCGACCCAAAACATCAATCAAGTTTTTGTGGAAAACAAAGCTGAAGTTCGAGTGGTTCAGCGCTGGTTCAAACGATTACGGGAAGGCGACGAGGATCTTAATGGCAAGGAAGGCCGAAAACGCCATGATAGTCTCGACAATGACGAATTAAAGGAGCTGGTAGAAGCGGATCCCAGAACAGCGGAGGCAGAATTAGTAACGCACTTTGGACTCACTCCACACACAATTGGGAACCATCTCAAGGAAATCGAAAAAGTAAAAAAGTAGAAAAATTGGGTGCCCGATCAGTTGAACGAATATCAAAAATTGCACCGTTACCTCACATCGTATTCATTGCTGTTTCGTAACCAAAAGGAGTCATTTCTGGGTCGAATTGTAACTTGTGATGAAAAAGGGGTCCTCTACGATAACCGAAAACGCAAAGCTGAATGGCTAGATAAAGGATAACCATCGAACCCCTTTCCGAAGCCCAATCTACACCCAAAGAAGTTTCTTCTCAGTGTTTGGTGGTCGCAGAAAGGTCTGATCCATTATTCAATTCTACCAAACGGAAAAACGATGAATTCTGATCAGTATATTCACGAAATAAACGAAATGTATGCGAAAAGTTCGAAGGATCGATCCAACTCTAGTGAATCGGAAGAGTCCCATCCTATTGCAACACAACGCCCGCCCGCATTGTTCACTAAAGACTCTTCAAAAATTGAACGAGCTGCACATTTAAGTCCTCCCTCATGCCCCATATTCTCCTGATTTGTCGCCTACAGATTTCCACTTTTTCAAGTTCCTCGATCACTTCTTATCAGAGATATGCTTTGCTACTCAAGGGGAGGTCGAAAATGGCATCAAAGAGTTTATCGATTCAATGGGGTCCGCGTTCTACACTTTAGGAATGTACAAGTTAGTCAAACGGTGGCAATCATGTATAGATTCTACTGGTTTTTACTTTGATTAAATTGCTTTTGAAATAAAAATTTTATGAACGTTGGAACTTTAGTGAAAAAATACGACATTAATTTTTTCCGTACCTAATACTTGGCCATTTAACGTTTTTTGGTTTTTTCCTCAGGACCTCAGGCAGATGCTTCCGTTATAAGTCCAGTGTGTTCATTGCAATTAATAAACAAGTGGATAATTATGTCTTCTGATTTTCATCTAAATCTATTATCTCATTCGCCGAGAAATTAAACTGTGTGAATATGGTAATTTGAAAACATCAAGAAAGCAAACAGATTCCAAGACATATATTGACATTCCGTGCGCGTACACCTGCCAATTTGCCAACCGAACCAAATAATCTCCGCAAGTATGGTTCCCTTCTTGAAACGTTCAGCCTAAAGAAAAGTGTCTTTTTTCGATAGAATGAAGAATTACGCATTCTGGAATCACATCACTATCGCTTGATGTCTTGTTGTATTAGGTTGGCAACTAAATAATGGCCCTCGCCCTTTTTTGATAAAATCTTTTAATCTTTGCGTTTAATCTACCCTCGCTTGTTGTTAATTGAATATTACTGAATTTCTGGTGCATTATTATACGTTTTTTACTTTCCTTGATTTGATACTTTTCAAATAATTTTGTTTAGAAATGGAAGATCTCAAATATCGAATGCGTGTCTGTCTCTGGTACGACTACAAACAAGACAAAACAGCTGCCGAATCTCACAGAGATTTATTGCGAGTTTTTGGTGATGAAACTCTTTCCGAAACACAATGTAAGAGATGGTATCGACGGTTCAAGGAAGGGGATGAAAGTCTTGAAGATGAGCCTTGCCAAGGACGACCCGAACTTCTGCAGAACGATATTTTGGAAGCAGCTTTAAAGGAGGATCCAAGTCAAACATCACGCGAGCTAGGGGATCGATAGGGCTTTTCGCATACTGCAATCGAAAAGCGACTTCATGCATTGGGGAAAAGTAACCGCAGTGGAAAGTGGATTCCGCATGAATTGAGCGAAGAAAATAAGGCTACTCGTGTTATCACAGCTGGAATACTACTAAACTTGCGAAAAAGGGAAGCTTCTTGGATTCCATTGTCACTTCTGATCAAAAATGGATCTTTTATGATAATCGAACGCGAAAACGACAGTGGCTTAGCACAAACGAAGACCCAAAACCAACTCCGAAGCCGGATATTCACTCAAAGAAAACTCTCCTCTGTGTGTGGTGGAGTTCTCGTGGGTTGGTGCATTTCGAGGTTCTCAAAAGCCGGCAAACGGTTAATTCAGAACTCTATTCGTCTCAACTACATCGTGTAGATCAAGCAATTCGCTCTCAAGGACTCGAACCCTCTTCAATTCATTTTCTCCATGATAACGCAAAACCACACACTGCAAAACTTACAATGGAGAAAATCGAGGAGTTGGGCTGGAATGTTCTTCCTCATGCGCCATAGAGCCCGGATATGGGGCCTAGTGATTACCATCTTTTTCGATCGATGCAACACTTTCTAGCCGAGAAAAAGTTCAATGACCTTGACGAAGTCCGAATTTCAGTGCAGAAGTTCTTTGACGATCAACCAGAAGAATTTTTCAAGAGAGGAATCCAGTTGCTCCGTCAAAAGTGGAAAGAAGTAATAAAGAATGACGGAGAATACCTTTTGGATTGATGTTGATATTTGTTCATCTTGTTAATAAATTTTTTGTTTTTACTGAAAAGGGCCATTATTTAGTTGCCAACCTGATAGAAAGTAAAGATTTTTTGGGCGAAGTCGACAAAAGATGGCCAGTTCGTGTTTCGAGAGCTGAGCCGTTCAGTTTGCACTCACAAGGGTCTTTCTCCAATGAATCTCTAAATGAAGACAAATTTTATAAAAAGCCCTGCCCACTGACCAGAAAACAGTTTTATGTAGTGATTTCACTTGTTTCAAACATACTCTAAGTGGCATAATCTACACCGACAGATTCCTTCACATAAATCGCTTTCAAGAATCTCCCAAGTGCTGTCAAGGAGTTCGACAAGTGAAACATTCATGCAGTGACCCTTTGGGCAGTTGTCTGCCTGAACGCGGCTTTTGACAGTGCACAATTTACAGGTGCAATTTCTTTTTTCATTTGCATTTCAAAACTGAGGCATACTTGCTCGTCAAAATCTTCATCTGATGTTATCACAACATTTCGTTCGAGAAGAACAACTGTCAAGCTGAGCACACATCTCAACGGAAGCATCCCTTAATTTCATATTTCCATGAACAAACGGGAAATAAAAAAAAGCGATATGATTATTTTTGGTCACATTATATGAAAAGAAATGCTAGAGCGGCTAACAAATCACATTCATTAGTCAAGTTTTATGTTTTCTTTGACATATGAGCATCTAAACGATAAGTTCGGTTTATAAAAGGAATCGAAAATTAAAATTGAGCCCATGATCAGAAAATTTCCTATGAAACATTCAAAGCAAAAAGGATGACTTTTTTGTTGTTGAGTCTATCGCATCGATTTTTCTCATTTCTCATCAGAAACAAATTGAAATATTAGTCATTTAATCAGAATTTTAAAAATAAGCTCGCTTATTTTTAAAGGAATGAATTTAAATTAGTTACTCTTGTAGCATGATGAAAAAAGAAAAGAAAAAACTTTGCACAAGGCATTTTCTGCGGGTCCTTCTTTGCACGCGCATTCGTTCTCTTGAATTAGCGTGTTTTGCACTTCGAAAATGGTGATTGCTATTTTTGTAGCAATTTTACAGAAGTCGATCCGTTGATAAATGTTGGTAATCCTATTTCCAAAAGTGCAGTTTGGGGTCTCTCGATCCCATGTGCACATCTGAAATTCTAGTTAATGCTTTTTTGGCCAACTAGTTTACCTGAATTCCCGAAGAATAAAATCCTTTGGTGTGAATCTCCTGGTTTGAGAATGCCCTAAATAGAATTGAAAGTCATAAAAGAGATATTTTGGGCAACCTTTTTCCCACCCCCATTTTTCTCTGACAATGGGTATGGTCTTTCAACGCACTAATAATGACTAATAATGACGCAATGACTTTTTACTTTCTAAGAGCGTCATCCGAAGTGGTTTTCCACGTAGAGATCATTGTTAGAACGAATTGCAGAATGTCCCAAGGTTGGATCGGTGTGAAGCTGAGGCAACAAGTACATAAACCAGGAGGATCTCTTTGACAAATACAGTTCCAGTCATGGTTCACCAGTTTATTGAAGCCTTGAACAGTCGTAATAATCTTGGCCATAATTTTCTCAAAATTGACGAGTTTTGTTGCTTCGCAAGGCAGAGACTAAAAATTGATATATTCGTTTGATCTTTTTAGATTACCCTAAAGTCGCGAGTAGAAGTTCTGTTTGGTTTTCGCATGCAAATTGACGGCTGTCTCCGGTACGGTGTGTCGAGGGTTTGAACCCCGCTGCAGCATAACTTTTTTGCTTTTTAAGAACACTAATAGAAGTAAATTTATTGAGGGTTATAGCAATTTTATGCTGTTATTTGTTGCTCCGGGCGTGGCTCGGCGCGTCCGCCCTGCTCCTCTCCGGTGCTCAGTCTTATGGATCCCTCCCTGGCCTCTTCATCCGGCCAAAGTCCAGGTATTTGGCTCAAAAGAGTTAAATCGAAAAAGTTGCCCGAGAAAATCAAATGAAGACAAACGTGGTTGGGTTGAATCGCGTTTACTTAACTCTGCTTTGATTCTCACGGAACTGATCTCGTTATTGAACTTACCTCTCCCCCATGACAAACCCCGCGATGACAAACACATGACAAACGACAAACGTCGAAAATGGAGGAGTTGAAGAGATTCGACTATGCGGGTAAAGGGATCGCCACTTTGCTTGCTGTTGCCCTTCGCGCGCACGATGGCCAGATCACTGAAGAGTAGAGTTTTTATGATTTGACTCAATGATAAATTCTTTGCATTACTGTTTACACAATGTCTTAAAATATCCAAGCTTTCAATGTTCTATAGTCCACAACGATCATCTAATGCTGATTAAGATTATGGGTAGAATTATTCCAAGAGATCTTGCTCTCAGATTTTAACACAACCAAATCCTAACTTCATTTCATAATCATCACATATTTGCTTGGTCAATTGAATAACTTGATTCATTGAGAATGGACCTAGACCAGTCTAATCCACGCCGATTTGAATCCCAAATTTCCACTACGACCAATGATCTTTTACGTAACGTAGAAATGAATTCAAGCACAACATCATTTATTCGCCCGAAATACACACAAAAAGATGCTCAACTAAACGATTAGAATCAGAAAATCAGAAAAATTATTGTTGTCTTTTGATAGATCAATAGAAAAGATCGAAAATGAACGTAATTTTCATTGAAAAATTTCTGCTCGATGATTGTTGAATCTAACCGAAACGGATGAACTCGTTCTTGCGCTTCTCCACTGAAATTTTAAAGTTGAAAATCAAAACAGATAATTTTTGAAAATTTAGCTTGATATAAACTATTCAAAGTCATCTAGGTGAATTGGTTTTAGCTTGTTGGCATTGTCTAAGCCGCTGACGTTGAGCTGTAGTAGCGCAACGTAAACCATCTGGCACGCTAATTTAGCAGCTAATTCTGCCAATTTTGCAGTAAAATACTATTGAAATCATAAAAGCTTTAAAAAACTCACTGTTTCCATCGTCCATCATCTCAGGGGCAGAGCGGCCGAAACTGAAATAAAGAATTGATTCGATGTTGCTTGGGTAACAGCTTGATTTTATTAATTGCTTAAGAATATATCGGTTTTGAGCAAGTAGAGTATAAAAATTTGTTTATAAACCTTGATAGTTAATGAAAATTTGAATATAATTCAATCTAGAGTTATCTGAAGTGAAAATTTCAACAATTAATAGCTTTCAAAAATCACGTAAATGTATAAGTTCATTGTATCCATGCACTCTTTCTCCATTTTATCTTTTTTCTTCCTTTTAATCTCACCGAATGAACTCATTCTTCCTCTTTCCAAAACGAATGAACTCGTTCTTTCTCTTTCCAAAGCGAATAAATTCATTTTTTCTTTTCTCCATCTCCATGTCTTCTGGCTCACTGAAAAGAAGTGAATGAGAATCAAGAATTTATGAAATTCAACATATTTCTTTAAGAAAAGCTGGCAAAAAGCTGAATTAGATAGAAAAATCAGCGTAATAATCTAACAATGAGATAAAAATGAGATTTGGTTAGCTGAAAAAAAGTTAGCTAATTTTTGGTTAGCTGATTTTTGGTTTGTTAAGATAATTAGATATTTGATAGCTTTTTAAATGCTAATTTACGATAAATTTAGAACTCAGCTTTATTAGAAACTTTATTAACTTATTAGAGACGATTAAACTTACGCTGATCGCTTTCCGAATCGAATGAACTCGTTCTTTCTCTTCTCAATCGATTCTGACTTTGGCTCCTCAAGAGTGATGTCTAAAATTTTCTTGATCTTCAAATTTCATCTCTATTTACTTCAGGTTTACTTATAGGTTTATTTTAGGTTATTTTCGACTTCAAAATATTGACATCGTTATGCTCAACTAATTCCGAACATCACTGCAATACTTGCGACCATTTTTATTACCACTCATAAACTCCATGAGGCCAAATTCAAAGTCAAAAGTCTATCGATACTCAAAAATTGGAAAGACAAGGGTTTTGAAACAATAAGAAACAACCAGGAACCAGTGAATTCTAGAAAGATTTTTCTTTCAAATGTCAACCAAAACCTTTTGAAACAAAGGAGCAGATTTTTGCAAGTTTTCAAAAGATTTTGTTTTCTTTTTCCACCCACTCGCCAGGACTGATTTTACTTTTAAATTCAACTTATACATTATGAGAATAGAGCTGTTAGCTGAAAAACTTGTCATACAAAAGTTGACAATCAAAAAGCATTACAAGATTTTATTGATCTGATTGATTGATTGTGCTGGCTAGGCTGACTTAGCTTCAGTGCTGGCTAGGCTGACTTAGTTCTCGGCGTTGGCCTTATGCTACAATGTGCGCTTGTTTGTTAAACGATAGCCCTTGAATGATAGTATTTTTTTTTGATAGAATGGTGTTCTATTAGAGTATTTACTCCAGATTTTGCCCTTCAGGTTCAGCTGATTGCTTGGATTTGACTGAAACACCGGTGATACTTCGTGATTATTAACAAGATTTGCCTAAAGCGTAAAGCCTTAGCTTTCAATTTGTGTTACCTGTTCGGGTGAGCACCTCTTGCATGGCGTTTCCAAGCACTCGGACCTCGTTCTAAAATTAAAGAATTAGAAAGTTAAAGTCCTTAACAAACTTAGCTTTTGACATTTTTGAATTTGAGTTTTTGAGATTTTAAGAACTTTCTCTGCATAAAAAACTAGATTATAAATGAAGTTTATAAATGGAGAAAAGTTTTAATCTCTTCTATTAGCTTAATCAGACTTTTTAAGGCTTATTTTTAAGGTTTTCCCCTTTCCTTGTCTAGTGTGAGTGAGACAAATCACGCGAACTCTCTCATTTCCTCTTTGCATTATTTAGCGGAACGGAATATCCTTAGGAATGAGAAGAACCAGATTTTAAAGCTTTTCAGCTTTTCAGCTTTTCAGCTTAAAGAGAAACGCAAGAAATATGCAAAATTTATTGGGATCGTCGTTTTTTTTAAGTAAAGAAATGATTGGAAAATTTTTGATCTTGAAGATTGGGTAATTTTTGTGGAAAGAAGAAACTTTTTGACTTAAAATATGGATGAAGTTTCATTATCATTTGAAATAAAGTAATCCAATACCTCAAGTCTCAATTTAACCTCATTGTTAGTATTGCTCGGCTCGTTCTTTTAACTTACTTTACTTTCAAAAGTTGTTCTCAAAAGCGAACTTTCAATTGTTTATATGTTTTCTAGTTAATTGTTTATATGTTTTCTAGTTAATTGTTTATATGTTTTCTTGTTTGTATGTTTTCTAGTTTCTATCTAATCTAGTTAGATCGAAAGTCAACAAATTTTTAGATTAATTATCCGAGATTTTACGTATTCACGCATTCTCGATTCAAAGGTTTCCCGGAAAGACTTTCAAAGGTTAATAATCAGAAATGAAGTGATTCTTGATGTAATACTTTGACTAATTCTTAAATTAAATGTTTCAATCTTGAGAAAATCTCATTCTAGTCTACTTTTTCGTTTCCCAAAACATTTCTCAATGCTTTTCAAAAATTTACACGCGAGTGTCAATCAAACGAGAGACAATCACTTTGAGAAAGCCTAAATTTAGCACAAAATCTTTTTCATTGAGAATTTTTACAAGTTTATAACTTTTAAAAGTATACGGATATGGGAAATGGGTCACTAATCAAATTCAAGATGATGGGACAAAGAAAGAAACGGAATGACGTGATGAGATGGGTTTTGAAGATGAGGAAATTTAATAATTATCATTATAGGTTATGAATAGGTTTATGGTTATGAAATTTTTGAAAAGACAAAGATTCAGAAGTTTAAGCTGTCGAAGTTGCGATACTTTTGCCTCTTATTAATGCTATACATTTAAATTAAATAAATTTGCTTACAAAAGTGCTTATAAATCTCAATTGAAGCTTTAAGTTCTGATAAATTCTATCTAAAAAGCTACAGTAGCATGCTTGGCATGAAAAATATTTGCAATATCAAAATTTAGAGTTATAATTTATTCACTTTGAGACACTTTTTATAAGCCCCCGTTTTCTTTACCATTTACCCACCTCAAGAACGCAAAGCCGTCGCTGAACCTCGTCTGTTTGATCACAGGCGAAGACCAAGACTGAAAATAAGAGGATAAGCTAGGTACAGCTTTGCTTATGCCATTTCAGCTTTAAGTTTAGAGTTTCACTTATAGTTCTATGCGTGGTTACCAGTTACCAAACCGGTAGTAAAGCTTCATTTTTTCAGCTTTACATAGTTGTTGCCTACAGGACAGGTAGACAAGCAATCTCTAATTGAAGTCATATTTGAACTTATTGAGACTATCTGTAGAATCAACAGGCTGAGCTTTAAAATATCTTCAAACCCCTTTAGTTTCATTTCTTACCTGATGATGCAAGCAATGAGAAAGTCCACAGTGATGAAAGCATGATGATCTGATGTGTGAGATATCCTATATGAAAGGAAATAGAAATGATTTGGGTCCTGGCTAGGGGAGGAGCCGGACACAGAAAAGTGAGGGGAAGAAGGGAAGGGGTGGCCCTTATAGACGTTGAGGAGATGGCCCGCCCACCTTCAAGGGATCAGACCAATCGACACTTGGAAGAAGAAGTAAAGGGGAAAGATAAATTTGATCTTTTGGGATACGTAAAAATGGTCTTGGCTTGGATGAGACTTAAGATTGCTTGAATGCTTGAATGGTCAATGAGCTAAATGAGCATGAGCTTCCGGGAAATGAGATGACGAGTGGTTGTAAAGAAACAAGAAAGGAATGAAGCTTATCAGTTTATCATTCAAGAATTGGAAGAGGTAAGCCTAACGCCTTGAAACTTTTCTTGATAATCTGAACTTTGAGTGCAGATGAAATGCATTTACACGGCCTTGAATGCTTTATTTGTTCTTTGTACTTGTACTTTGAGCTCAAAAACGTACAGTTTCTGGTGCACTTCTATCTTTATAAGGGTTTAAGAGGGAAATTGAGTGCACCAAAAAGAGTGTGTTTTGAATTTTTGAGTGCAAAGTACTTCAGAATCTAAAAAAATACTTGAAACTTCAGAATGTATCTTTCTTAAATTTGTAACTTCAAGATATCCAGAAATCCAGAAAGCGATTTCCGTCTTTACTTTGTATTTTCTAGATTTCCTTTCTAATCCCATACATAATGATAGAATTTGAAACGTCCGATAATACAAAAATCCTTTCCCTATTCACTTGAAAACAAAAAAACCGGCTATTTTTCTATTCTTGAGTCACTTGAGTTCATTCAATCCCATCAAATAAAAATCAACGGTTTCTCGTTTTTTTTTCTTGATTTTTTTCAACAAGTGTTCATTGGGTTACAAAGAAAATTATTAGAAAATCCTAATCCGTTGATTTTTTCCGAAAATGATCTCAGATCTAAACGAGATTATGAATAAAAATCATTATTTTATTATCTATTTTTTCAAATTTATAATTGGATTTGGTTATCAAATAGTTCTTGAAAAAATGTAAATGGATTGAACTCGATTCAACTATTTTTGGGCTCAGGATAGATTTCGGAACAGGATTAAAGCAAGAATCGGGCAAAATTGGGCAAAATTGATCTCAAGGAGTTGGGCATAGTGACGCCGAGAAAATGGGAAATTTCAGTTGCTTATCACTCCTTTTCCGCGATCCCAAAAAGGAAAACCCTTATACTAAACGTGTTTGCTAGATGGCGAGCGATTACGCGCCTGCACAAAGAACACCGTCCAACTTTCATTTGCTTTGTGTTTGTCTTCCGTTTAAATCCCAAGACCAAAAATTTGCATCCAAGGGTTTTCGAGTAAGGAGAATCGAGTAACAGTGTTTATTTTATTATAGCTACAAATATAAACCTTTAATTACTACTATAAATTGTTAAATCACAACATTTTTTTATTATTTATAAGAATTTTTTTTAGGAACAGTTTTCAAAAAAGATCTTGTAAACTTTCGAGACTTGGCACACCGTTTAGAAACAAAATTCAGTGCAACAGATCGTAAACGTTTACGTGATTACAGAAGTTTCTTAACAATAACAACTTTGTAATCCTCTTGAATCATTTGTTAACAATATTATTCACCACTTGACTACGGTAGTTGGGTTACCTTTGAAATCGAATCATTTCTAAGAGCAAATTATTCTTTAAGCATTGCCTCATTATCAATTCATTCAGCTTGGGATAATATTTTTGAATCAGTGGGCGTTCAACGTCAAAAGTTACTGGAAAAGCAAGGAAAAGTGTTGCAGAAAGTTTTACTTGATAACGAAAAATGGCTACCAAAATGTAAAATCTGAACCCCAGTTCTTCCTAGATGACTCTAGATTTTTTTAATCTTGCCACCAAAAGGCACCAAAATGTCTCTAAATCTTCTTAAAAACAACTTATAAATTAAACTAATGCCAAAGCATATAATGCCTAAACTAAAAAATAAATTCATTGAAACGTTTTGTGGTTGCATTTTTGATTCCACCAGAATGGTGGAATAATTTTGATTTTCAAGCAAATTGAAACAAGCAAATGAATCAAAAAAACCTCAGAAAGTCAACAATGCACAAAATTTTACTTGATAACGAAAAATGGCTACCAAAATGTAAAATCTGACCCCCAGTTCTTCCTATATGACTCTAGATATTTAATGAGGCACCAAAATGTCTATAAATCTTCTTAAAAACAATTTATAAATTAAACTAATGCCAAAGCATATAATACCTAATGCCAAGAATAAACTCATTGAAACGTTTTGTGGTTGCATTTTTGATTTCACCGGAATGGTGGAACAATTTTGTTTTTCAAGCAAATTGAAACTGAAATTGAAACAAGCAAATGAATCAAAAAACCTCAGAAAGTCAACAATGCAGAAAGTTTTTTAAAGCCAATGAACTAGAGTTGTTCATGAATCCGATTTTCAAGGTCAAACCAAGCCAAACCAAACTAAAAGCTGATTATAAAACCAATCCTTGAACACCTTGTCCTTGGCTTTTGAATGTTTAAAAGAAATTTGATGATTTGAGTTGTGCCAGTGAGTGTTTAAATAACAAAAAAAAACCATTTTCAACAACTAGATAAGCTGGCTACTTTAATCTGTTTTTATGCAAGTTTCTGGGACAAAAGAAACACTCCCAAGAAAGCCTCAAGTTCAACATATTCACATATCTATGTAAGCTGTAATGAAAGCTAAATCAATTTCTCCCAAGAAAGCTAAAGTTTAACGGATTCACAGATCTATGTAATCTATGCAAGGTAAACCAATTTTACATCGAAAATTGTGACGTTGGCTTCGTTTTTCCAACTGAATTGAAAGATAAAATTAGACGGATCAAAAATCTGAGTACTAAAGAGAAACTCTGCAAATGCGCTTGATGAAGCTTCATTTCCATTCCCGATCACTTGCTGGCTCTTCTCTGACTATTTTTTTTAATGATATTTTTAGAAAACATTAATTCATCTTTAGTCTAAGCATAACATTTTCCAAGAACATCTCTTTCTTTTCTCTCTTTTCTTTCTTTTATTACTTAGCAAGCTGTCCATTGCAGACAAAACGTCGAATCCATTTTTGGTGATGAGAAACTTGTGAACGGTAACAAATATTTTTAATCTTATTTAGGGAAATTTACTTTCGAGTTTTTGAAACTCAAAAATTTCACAATTGTGTTCCACTGATGGTTGGTGCTTTCTCGAAAATCTCAGCTTAGCGGAAAGGCAATACTTTAATGGGGTATTTATTGAGGGAAAAGTTGTCCTCTAGAAAGCTCTTTGGTTAAAATCATTGTGAATTTAAAAATAACAATCAAGTTGACAAAAAAAAACTAAGGAATTTGTTGTACAGAAATTTCAAAAAGCAAAGAAGTGTTATCGTGGAATTCTAGAACTAGAGTTTGTTCGATAAGATCATTGTTAAATTCACAATGACTTTAACCAAAGAGCTTTCTGTTAAATTCACAATGATCTTATCGAACACACTCTAGTTCTATAATTACTCGAGTAATTACTTACTCCTTTGGAGTAAATAATTACTCGAGTAAAATTTGCATAATTTTTACTCGATTAATCAACGTTTTTCGCCGAAAATCTTTAGAAAATCATTTTCTCAGCCCAACTACACTTTTGGTATCAAAAGAATACTAGATTTCAAGGGTTATCATATGACATCCAAATGCACACTGTAGCTGAAAGCAACGCGGAGAACGGGACGTTTAAAGTTAGACGAAGCGACTGTAAGTCTATCATTTTGAAGGTGCCGTTCAATTAGAGTATTTACGGTACTTTTTATTGAGCAAAATCAGTATTAGAGTATTTACGGTACTTTTTATTGAGCTTATAGATTGCTCTTTACGGTCGATTTTGTATAAATTAGAGTGTGCTCCTTCGGAGTAAGTAGTTACTCGAATAAAATATGCATGAGTAACTTTTACCCGATTAATCGACGTTTTTTGGTCGAGTAACAACGAGTAATCCTCTTTACACGTCGAGTAAATTGAATATCTTTACACTTGAAGGGAATCACTCACAAAATCAGTCAAACAGCTCAATATCTTCAAAAAGGAAACGTATATAAGTCGGCGCTCGTGATTTTTTGCTACAATTTTCGCTAAAAGTACGATAATTTTTCCCAAGTGTGTGTTTAAAAAACGCATTATTCGCGAGGAACACACTCTATATGTAATGACCAGATGGTCGACCGGTTAGAAGTCTCGGTCTTTTAAGCGGAAGGTCGAGGGTTCAATCACGCTGGCAAGATTAAAATATTTCTTTTTCCCACCAAGTGGGTTTTTTCTTTCACAACATTTGGGTAATAAGGGTAATAGGAGTAACGGCCGAAGTGCCATAAAATTGCGTGTTTAGACCTTTATGTCTTATTATGTATCCTTTCTTGGTATCAAATTATTGGTTCAATAAATGTATTTTTATATAGAACTGAGACTGATCATTTGTCTGTATCAATTTAGATTCTCCACAACAATAGCCGTTTTGAAAAACTGAATTCTATTTGATTTCTTAAAAGTTATGCCAATAAATGTTTCATAATTTTCCCACATCTGTGACTGGAATCAGGTAAGATTTTGAGGTTATTAACTGCCAACAACTGATTGCCAACACCCTGGATTTATCATTTTGAAGACATTGTGCATCTTTTGTTGTTAACATCGTTTTTTGAACGTTTACCCCGTTGAATTACTTCCTCCTTTCTCATCGACTCATCCATAGCGATCATAGTCCATCACTTCATCAACTCCATTTATGGAATCGTTCTTATTTTTCACAAATTCCCCATTTGCACGAAAAGTTGTTCATCTTTTGCTTTGCCATTTTTCACTCCGAGAATCGTCATTTTTTTTAATGAAAACGGTTGAATGAATATCTTTTAGAAGATGAAGATGAGAGGTGCATTCATTTCTCAAAACGACCATCAAACGGCCATCGAA